GGAGTTGGTAGAAAATGTGGTGCAAAGGGAGCAGGTTGGGAAAACTATTTTGAACTCTATATTTGTATGTAAAGCTCGAAGGAACGTTCTGACAAGGAACATGTCATCATTTATTCCAGGCCGAGTTACATCCAAGGGCATCAGCGAGCGCCAACAGTACACTGGAGGTGCTTTCGGTTTGCATTCTTACATAAATATGCACACATAGTATACACAGAGTTAAATATGGCCCCTTGTTCCAGCTGGTGTGGTTTGGTCACGTCACAACAACTTGGTGCAGCCACACAACAATAAACAATACATATGTTACAGCTTAAGTGCTTGTTTAAGTTTTCAGACAATTGCCAATGTGTTTGTGAACAGGTTATATTTTAAGAAAACGAATGTATGCATCAGGGATTTTTTGGGAAAGATTAACTTGCGCCTTGATATATTTTAACAGTTGTTTTATGTATTAATACTTTGACACAGAAGGAAAATCCTACAAAAGAGCTACGTATTTGTTTCCACAAACGCAAATTTGAATGCGCTTTAGTAGCGCAAATAAAGGCATCACCGTAGTGCGGAACATGTTAGGTTGCACCTACATTTATGAGGACTGTAAAATGACTAGACGGACTCTCCATAGACTGAAACGTTATAACTAATTTCAACCTTCACAAAAGGCAACACATAACATATCAAGTCTTTTAATTTTTACGTTGCATATTAAAAACCACAGACATATAATATTTACAGGCAAGCATTTAGCATTTGTGTTGTTTATCCGAAAAGGCCTTTAGTGTGTGGACGCTGCCTTAAAGCGACTGCAACAACAAGCGTATTGTCCTACAAAAACACATAACTGAAGAAGTCTTAAGTAAATGATTCACTATTAACATCAAGCCACTCCCTGTTGGAATTGTGTCATGCTTTCCACCAGTCTTAAAACTGTCCACACTCTGAATGACAAGTGAAATCAAGTCAGGCAGCAGCGAACAAGGCCAGAGTTTCAATCTGCCACCCAAATAATTGCCGCACACTCCGAACACAGCCAACAGAGAAACAGCAAGTCGCCCTCATTTCAAAGAGAATTCAACAGCTTTTCACCGTCAGCACAAACGTGTCTTTATTTCCTTAATTGCTAAGTACTTCCTAATGAAGTTGGGTCAACAATCTTTACTGGGTAGCCTGAAGTAGGACAAATGCTAATAAGTAATGAAGATTTTTTATTATTACATAATTATCCTGTACATTTACATCTGGATCTTCATTTTTTATATTTCAGTTAGAGAAATAAGTAATCTAGATTCACTGTTTGGAGCCGTCCTGCCACTCGGACTGTTCCACACACGCTGTACGGCACAGAATTACAAATCAGGAAATACACATTAGACCGACATTGCCGCTTTCTAACATAAATCCTCACTGGGTCACTACTTTTATGATCAAGAGTTTTTATTACCATTACAGAACTTTCTTCCAAACAACGCAAGTTTTATAAAGAGGGAAACCCTTAATTCAATGCGACGTCTCTGCTTTTCTAGTTAAGCATGGTTTTAAGTATCAAATACATCTAGGAAAATAAGTAAAGAGGCGCTGACATGGATACACCAAGTGATTAACTTTACACAAAATATTTGCTGATATATAAGCTGCCATACACCTATTGATTTCCTGGATTGTTTTGTGTCTGTTTAAGGTCTATGTAGACTGTAGGGAACACAAAGATCGTGGTTGTGCGTGTGTGTGTGTGTTTGATTATTCCTTGTGTTTGGTTTGCATCTAGACGAAGTTGCGTGTGGCGGACTTGGTGGCACTTTGCCCTTGTGTTTAACGGGTCACGCATGTTTTTATGAAGGATAATTAACCCATTAAGGGATCTGGCGAAGCCTAATCCAACCGGTCTGCAGACATCAAACAGGAACTGCGGTTGGGTCTAGACAGGTGAAAGCCGGGTGTTCAGTAACACAAGTAGGCCAAAAGCATAATACTGAGCACTCTATAGCCTGGACCTCTGCTGTAGTTCACAGTGTTTGTGCGCGACCTCCTTGTTCACTCCGAGTGTCCATTTCCACAACAAAAGCCTAACAGGTTGTATGTGATTATACGGATACACTGCTGAGAAATGTGCAGTGAAATGTAACACTGACAGACGGGGTGTTGGTTTCCTGTTTGACAAAAGGTTTACATTTACTCAACGTCTCTGTGCAAAAGGGCAGGAAAAGCAAGACACACATTACATTCACGGAGCTAAAATTATGTTTTAAGTTTAAAACTCAACAGCGAAATTATAAAAAGGAATATAAAGTCGTTACCAAGAATTGAAGAAATGCACGGGGGAAGAGAGACTTTTACCCAACTCTTTGGAGTCTTAGACCACATAAAAGAGAAGTTAAAAAGCTTCCAATGTTTCATGCTCTGACAGTCATTCTGTCAAACGGGGACATTTTATCCTCAGTAAATCAAAGCTTTTTGCATCATAGCTTTGGGTGTGCGCCGTGGAGTTTTTAGGGCAGTTGATGGAAATTCCCATAACAAGCCAGACAAGTTTAATACTGAGAAAGCTGGAAAAGTAGGGAGATGTTGCCACGTCACATAAAGAGCTTAGAGGTGTTGCAGTACACATTCCCATAGGGACATGGAGACCAGTGATTCATGCGGAGGGACACATATCGGCCTCGACAATAAACAAAGAGTCTCCTGAGACAGGAGCTTCTACGTTTTAAGTATTCACTGCAGCTAATGAAAGGAATCGCATAGCTCAAGCAAATTGGACTTGGTGATTATTCACAGAATATCGGGTCTTGTTTTGCACAAAAAGATAGTTTAATTTTTATTTTATTTTGAAGGACAGCAATATACTGGCTATACTGCTATACTTAGCAGTTGAGAGTTTGTTCTTAAGTTTTGACAATTTTAAATGTAAAGAAATAGTCTGTTTTCAACATTCGTGCAGCCATGAAATCTTCGGCATTGGCACAGTTAATATTGCTTTGAGGAACCAAGATTATGGCCATTTTATGACAAGGGGTTGATCAGACTGATTTCCTGCTTTCAAAGAGTAAACAGAAAAATACCTTTTACATGACCTCAAGCCAACATCTTCAAAAGCTTCCACAAAAACCATCAACAGGAAGACTCTCAGACGTTGTTGAGGAGAGGTGACGAGATGAACTCCCGCAGAGTGGGCCATGCTGTTGCAACAGTTATTTATTCCTCTTTTCAATTCAAGGGTCCTTCTGTTTTAAATGGACGGCATTAAGGGGAACCGGCACTAAGGTCTGTCCTTGGAGGCATGGTCCAAATTCCAGAGAATCTTGGCAACTCCTCGGGATAGATGGGACCCTCATGGATATAAAACCCCACAATGGATGAATAGGTAAACAGAAGGGTGTGAAAGAGTGATGGCGAAAAGAGAATGTTCACTCTCAGAGAGGCACAAAGAGGGAGGTGTGTGAGTGGGAGATGGGAGAGAGCCAGAGTGTTCGGGGGAGGAGAGGGGGTGAGCGAGAAGGGTCTGGAGGGAGTTGTCAGTGAGTGAGAGTAAAAGTTTTGTCTCCAGGCTTTTAGAGGATGCTGTGTGTAGTGTTAACTCAATCAAAAGGTGAATTATACCTCCTGAGACACTCAGGTAACCTTTCATTATGGCCCTAATCCTTCTTAATAACAGAGCGGCAATGTCGGCAATGCCCCATTAGACAGAGAACCACTGAGAGGGAGAGCCATTATTCCCCACAGGCCTGGGGAAATGTGAACACACAACACTCACTCACACACACACACACTCGCAGTGACAGATGAAATCAATCACAAATTCGACTTGAGCGAGGAAAATGCAGCATATTTCTCCACACGGGGATAGGGACCTTGACAGAAAATAAATGTGTGTTTATGTGGGATGAGAGTTTCTCTAAAGTTGCACTTTTGTTGGGTGAGGCTGGAAACGATGCTATAAAAGCCCATACTGAAATAAAGGATGAACAAAACTGTAAACTTCTGACCTTAAAATATGTTAAAAAAAAAGGCGATATAAAGTGTTTAATGCTGCAAATTACTATTTCGGCACAATTTACTCTACATTTATCTGCAGTAAATTATTCCTCTTTAAACTTTAGTGGTCGGCACATTTAAGCATTACGTTTATTTATTTAATTTTCTAGATTAGAAGCTTAATTTAGGCTTCTTGTAACTTGCAAGGAAAACTTGTTGATTTGCATATTAACAATAATAAAAAAGGAATTGCAAAAAGTATGATTTATGTCTAGGTTTAATTGAAGAGTTGGTTAAACAAAAAGGAAATACATCTTGTAAAAACTTCTAAAAAAACGTACCGATTGAATATTTAGCACAGTTTTCTTTACAATGAACCTAATTTTAACTAAATTAAGTAGGATTTAACAAATGTAAAAAATAGGGTAAAATCGGTTTGAGTTTTCCAAGCACGTGTAGTTGTATAAAGTTTTAGAGGGCATTGTTTGATGTTTTGATGTTTCGGCTGAGAAAATGTAAATTGAAACTTGTTTAGATTTTTTTAAACTTTAATCCTTGTCTTATTTCCCAGCCTAATCAAGCAACAAACCATGATTGCTCTATGGCCCGACCAAAGCCACTTAGAGGCAGTCAACCCTAAAATGTACAACAGAACGAGCTGCCTGATAACATCTAATGAAAGCAGGCCTAATGTAGAGCAATAAATCAACAGGCTTTATCCAGCTGCAGTTTTGGATGTTGAGATGTTAAATAAAGATTTCTGGGTTGTGTAGACTAATCTTTATCAGTGATGGAGTAGTATAGGCATAATAAAAAGTTGGATAAACACAATCTATCATCATGGCAATTTAATGACTAATAACAATATACAGAAGTTGAGCCTATAAGAGGGACATTCATTCATTTAGGCATTTTCATAGTATTGTACCTCAGTTTGATAGTAGCCTATGAATATTATTTTATGCAGATTCAGATTTTCACTAGGTTTTGAAAGCAAATCTTATGAATTAGCCTAATTAATTATTCACCTGTACCACTCCAGTCCGTTGTCATAGTTTCGGTCGAAGAAGTGCGGCTCCGCTCCCACGGCTCTGATGTCCGGATGAACCCGGAGAAACTCCAGCAGAGCCCGGGTCCCTCCTTTCTTCACCCCGATGATGAGAGCTTGTGGCAGTTTCTTGCTCCCCTCCCCGAGCGGACTGAGTTTACCTGCGAACCTCGGCGACACTTTCCGGGAAGCAACTAAATCCGGTGGCGGCAAGATGAAAGACTCCTCCTCGGGCAGTTCGGATACCTGCCTCGAGCGCTCATCCGCGAGAACCCGTGAAGAGCGCCTGGCGACCCCGTAGCCCGTAAGCTCCGACCCGGGGGTCCACTGGTACGCAAGTCTTTTAGTCCTCAGTGACCTAAAGTCCTCGAAGAGCCCCGCAGCCCGGCCGGAGGACACCTTAACCGGTGAAGTGGTGCTGCAGCGGGCGGTGAGGCAGTGCAGGAGGAAGAGGGAGGTGAAGAGGGTGCACAGCATGACCGCCGCTTTCCTGAAGATGCCTCGGCAAGGGGGGTCCAGTTTACTGATGCGGCTAAAAGCCATACCGGTCCCTGGGAGGTCGGTGCAGGAGCCGCAGCCATGCTAGGCACACAATATTGACTCTCCTTGCCATGAAGAAACCGAGGAGTGAGGCTTCTTCATCCACGGTGTGCTGTGGATAACACCTCCAAAAAAGACAACAAATTATACCTGCAGCACAGGTGAGAAAGATGACGCCCAGACTGACCAAGAGCAGCCAAAAATAACCACCCGCAGTTACTTCTGCAACAATGTACGCACTCAGGTAACACTCTCTCTTCTTTCCTTGCTCTCTAGTCTGTAGGATGCCACCACCAGCCCTGATGTACCACCCGCACGTGTATAGAGTTGTAAACTTGCCTCGCATGTCAGGTTGCTTGACTGGCACCTCCTCGGCCAATGAGATGAAGAGAAAAGCAGACATGAGCCAATGATGTTCCAGGTGGGAGGAGACACTGATACACCCAACATCTCAGGCGAATTAAAGGGAATTTCCATGTACAAAAATAAAGTTGTGAAGTGGATATAAATGCTGCAAAGATACACTTTTGAAAATACAATAATATACAAGTAACATAACACAAGCACATTTGCAAACTTGCAATATAGACACACATATTTCGTTATTAAGTTTATCCTTTATTTAAATGAAATTCTACTTGAAATAAACATTTCGTTTTTATTTATTTAATTCCTATTACTTGTGCAAAAGAGTTAACATATACAGTATAATCAAACACAATAAACACTTAACCATCCAACAAAATAGGTTATTGATTGCTGAAACTTGAAAAGGTCATGTTAAAAAACATCCAAACACACAAACACCATCTCTGTTTACAAACAGACAGAAGCGGCTGTCAAGCTTGCCAGGATAATTTTATAAATATGTTTGTTTGGTGCATCGTCCCAACATTTTTCCAATGCAGCTTGTTTAAGGATGCCAAAATAAATCTACCCTCAGTTCTTCAAAACACTCGTGGGACCGTTTCTCCGCATGCAGCTGAAGTTAGGCCACCAAAGAAGATGCCCTCCACCACAGACTCTTTTTACGACATGCAGAAGAACAAAAAAAGTGAAATAATGATAACGGGGTGCATTATTTCTTTACAAGTGAACAAGAACAGAACCAAATGTTTCACATCTGCTCTTGCCTTTTGAGTATTAGCATGAGAATGTGCAGGCAGTGCTTCAATGCTGCACAGCTCACTGCTTGAGAAAGAGGATGGAGACCTCAACACTGGGCTGTATTGCCAGCACCAGATGTCCCCCATGTTGTCGAAACAATACATGGGGGTGTCCCGCATTTAACAAATCACACCCCGTGTCTTTTCTCTGTCTCCCTGACACTGGAGAGATGTTCGACCCCCTCAAACCGACTGTGATGGCACCCAACATTCCCTCATAGAGGTCAAATGGCTTCACTCTCCTTCTTATCAAAGACAAATACTGGGAGAATAATTATGTTAAAGAAGTCATGTCTCTTTCTTTTCATGACAAATGTAATGCTAAAAGTTACTAGAATACCTATAGCACATTTTATTAATTAATTAATGTATTTAAACAGTTATGAAAAGGACAATCTGACAGCGTAGTAACTACATAGAGGTCCCCACCCTCTTGGTCCGGACCCCCAACAAAGGTCACAAGATGAATTTGAGGGGTCAAACAGGATTTAACGTGACAGGGCAATAGATATTTCTTCCACAGAAAAAAGCAGGTTTTTTATTTTACTTCTCCGATTGATAGTTTTTCCCAGTTTTGGAAGAAATACTCAAATGCTCAAGTAAACAATAAATGCAGCTACAAGTTAAAGTCCATCATTCAAAGTACAATTAACGGAAAGTATACAAAGTTCCCATTACGCAAAATTAGCCACGTGGAGTGTTATATTATATAACATTATTGAGTTGTTTTCTTAATGCATTATGGTGGAGGAAGTATTCAGATTCTCTCCATAAGAACAAGTACGATATACTGCAAATCCTAACTCCTCTTTTGAAGTCTAATTAATTACATATCTATTTTCAGGAATATATACTTTATCAAAAGTTATTTTATGTAACTTTAATCTAGTGTTTTTCAAGATGGAGCTACTTTTAAGTAGATCATATTCTTACTTCTATACTGTTGGGTAGCTTAATCTGTACAAATTGTTAATACCAACTAATAAGGTTAATTTATTTTTAATTTAATCTATTAAATATAATCTAATTAATCAAATCACCCAATCAAAATGACTTTTTAATTAAAAAAGAGTATATTTTCCTCTTTAATGTAGTGGAAGGGAAGTACAGACAGCAAAGAATAGAAGTAAAGCACAAATACCTCAAAAGTGTACTTGAGTATAGTACATGAGTAAAGGTATTTATTTACTTTCCATTCACTTTGAAAAGAAACCTCGAGACCTCCAAATGATATGAAACAATGTGAGGAGAGACAATCATAGACGTATAACACTTGTGCCAAGTGTCCGTTGATTATTCTAATAGCTCTGTTGTCATCAAGGGCGACTGAGTAGGTACTCCAAATCTTGCGACATGCTTTGTGCAACGTACCCATTTTCAGAAGGGTTTAATGTTTGTGCAGCGACACATACTTCCTCGGAAAAAACCCAGCATTTAGTGTGTAATTACAAACCCAGACATTTGTGCCTTCAGAAAAATGTGCAAGCAGTCTAGAAGGCATGTAAAAACGTAATTCGGCTTTCATCTTCGCCGTTTATCCAAATTGCAGCACTATGGTTACCCTGACGCAGCCTTTTTGGAATCTTGGATGCTGGGTTGGGTGTTTAAATGTTTAGGGGAGAACAAACACAAACTGTTTATTATCCTTTTGAATATAATCTAGCATTTACTTTGCATATTGAACACATTCTCAGGGCAGGCCATGGGAAAGCCAACGGGTGCCAAGGCGAAACCAAATAAGAAACGACTGAATTTTCTGCATCTGATTGTTGTTTCATGGAAATGTATAAACCATACTACTCTCAAATGCACCATCAACAGTGAAAAATAAAGTCATGCAGGAACATTTTCCATTGCCCCGCTGGCCAAGTAGTTAGACCGTGTCTCAGCCATGCACATACTCCCGAGACAGGTTTATGAACTGAGGTTTGGGAGCTGTCAGCTTGAAGGAGACATCTTTACTGCCATTATAATTGGCTTTACGTTTCTCAACCTGAAATCTGTTACGATAAAATATGTTTTTTTTTCAGGATACTACTCATTTTTAGTTTTGGACAACTGTCCTTTTTTAATGGCCTATAAATTGACTGACTCCAATGTATGCTTGATATTGAAATATCGTTCCAAAGAAAAAGGTACAATGCTCCACGGGGCAAACATGGCTGGAAACAGATGCTGCTAGTAAAAAGATTTACACGTGGAAATTGTATGGATGTGATTTACGACATGTTCCGTGCCTAAACTAAGATCAGTGTCGCACATTTCCACAAAAGCCGGGCAGCTCCTTGGCTCCGGAGTCTCATCTCTTAAAACCATTTCTTTTTGAGTGAAATTGAAATGGCATTGCTCACTCAAGAGCTTAATTAGGTATTATTAGGTAACACATGACATGCAGCACAATTCCTACCACCCAGCTAGCTGTAACACTTAAAAAATATATATTTATATGCAATATTTTATAGAGAAAGAGCCCTTTTTGGTAATCAATTTGTTATTTAGAAGAAAAAAACACAGAATTTCAAATACTGTACTTGCACACATGTGAATAGTGTGTGAGCAATGACTCAATGTTTTACTGAAACAGGCTGTTTTTTTTCGAGAGGAAATGTACTCGTTCTATATACACAGCTGTTGGCTATTCATCGAGGTCTTCTGCTTCATTGGCAGGCCGCGCGCTGAACAGGAAGAGTTTCTATTTAGCACGGAAACCCAAATAAATTGTGCTCTTAATCAGATTAATGCTCATCTGAAGTGGGGCTGTTTCTCTAAATAGACTCAATGTCAACATAAAACCAATTTGAATCAAGCACACAGGCAATTACACTCCATTCATCAATGCCTTATCTCCAGATTTGTGTTTGCTCATGTTTTCCGCAAGCAAAGGAGGAAGAGATGGCACGCAATTATGGATTTCTGCCTTTTAAATGGAAAATTAAATTGCGGCGTTATGATTAAGTTTATATATAGTTAATACATATTTTAAACGGGAAAGCCTTCACCTTATAATTATTGAAATTATCTTACAAAATCTGATGCCATTTGTTATGCTCCAAAAACAGAACTTTAATTAATGTATGCATACACAGCTTTGAATAAAATCAAGTTTAAACAACCTTCCTGTCTGATCCCAAAGCTTGTGTTGTATCCGAAATGAGTCCCACAGCATGTGGTGTGTAAACATTTTATGTCACATTCCTTCCTCCAAGAGGCAGCAGGATGCAGCTGATTATGAGAGAGGCTGGTGGGGTGCGTGGGGAAGGAGGGAAGGAGGCGCTGTTCCAGTTGGAAGGTTGTGTGGCTAAATGTCCATCTCTAACAGACGGTTATCAGGTTTAAAGACAAGCTGGTGTGGGTACAAAAAGGTTAATGGCACATATGGCTGGCTATGGTTTATTGCAAACAGGAGAACAATTGTCCAAATTAATCTCCAAATGCACTTGGCAAAAGGAAAATAATGTCATGGTGACGTTGAGTCTAGCTTAAGTATGGAGTAAAACGTCAAATTTTACCATGGAAATACAATTCTGGATTATTTCAATAAGAGATGAATATTCAAAACTTAAAACACCTGAAAAGTTGTTTTAAATTCAAAATAAAATGGTATGTCACAGTGTGGGGGTGGCATTGGCCCTGCTCCAAGCAAAAAAACAACAACAGATTTGGATTCAAACTTTGCAATATCCTGATTGGTGAACGGTGTCTCTTCTTTCCAATTAAAACTAAAATAAAAAATCTCTTTAGTAAAAAAATCGCTTTGGCAGAAGCTTCTGCTCAGGAAGGAGCCCATCACTCAGAGTATTTACACATTTCGAGCGGCCTTTAACACTAGTGTTTACTCCACATTATCATCTAGAGCCCTCAGCCCCCTATACCCAGGCTGTAGGAAAAGGAGATGGCATCATCACACAAAGTCCAGGAAAAAAGCACACTGTGTTGACCTTTTGACCCGGCTTCATGCCTGGGACAAGGCCTAGCCGTGGAGATAGTGTTGGGTGATATCAAGTTGATATTGGCGTCCAAACGACCAGCCCAGATGATGCATCACATGTGAGCCCATTAGAGACCCATTGGATATGGCGTGCTGTGTTCATTAGAAAGCAATATGTGGAAGTCTGATCTGCCATTTCCTGCAGATAAATATCTGCTCG